CCCTGCGATTGTGCCTGGGAAAGCAGCAGAGGATGGCCCAAGTGCTTGGGTTCCCGCACCTGCATGGGAGACCTGGAAGAAACTCCTGGCTCCTGACTTCGGCTTGCCCCAGCCCTGGCTGTTGCAGGCATTCGGGAAGTGAACCAGCAGATGGAAAATCTCTCTCTCTCTCTCTTTAATTCTGCCTTTCAAATAAATAAAATAAATCTTTTTAAAAAATTAATTGTGCCTGTAATTCAGCCATGATACCTGATTCTAGAATCCACTGGAAGGAATAATTATTGATGGCTAAGAAATTCACCTAGAAGAATGATCAAAATGATAATGGTGTAGTTGTAGGGTATTTATTAAATAAGTGACAATCCATCCATACTTCAGTGAAATGGAACATAGAATAATTCAGAAAAATTCTATGGAGGTTAATTCTAGGTGGTATGAAGGTTAATGGCATGGAGATATTTAGTTGAATAAATGCAGACTATACAGATTATAATCCTAATTTTATTTAAAGATGTATAAACTATGGAGGAGAGCTATAAAGACATTTTTTCAAATGCTAACAATAGTATGGTTTTTTTTTTTTTTTTGGTAACAGCTTTTTGGAGAAATAACTCTCATAGTATAAAAACCATCCATTTAAAGTGTGCAATCCCAGTGGGTTAAAGCCCTAACCTGAAGCGCTGGAATCCCATAAGGGCGCCGGTTCTAGTCCCGGCTGCTCTTCTGATCCATCTCTCCTCTGGCCTGGGGAGGCCGTGGAGGACGGCCCAGATCCTTGGGCCCCTGCACCCACGTGGGAGACCTGGAAGAAGCTCCTGGCTCCTGGCTTCGGATCGGCTCAGCTCCGACTATTGCAGCCATCTAGGGGGTAAACAAGCGGATAGAAGACCTCTCTCTCTGCCTCTACCTCTCTCTCTAACTCTGTCTTTCAAATAAATAAAATAAATCTTTTAAAAAATAAAATGTGCAATTCAGTGGATTTAATATATTCATGTCCACATATTATGGATAAATAATATTAATTGTATGTATAGACCACATTTTTGTCTATTCATTTGTAAAAGATTTATTTATTTGAAAGGGAGTGACAAGAGAGAGGGAGAAACAGAGAGAGAGGGAGAGGGTGAGGGAGAGGGCGAGAGAGAGAGATCTTCCATCTGCTGGTTCACTGCTCAAGTGGCCACAGAGGGGGCTGGGCCAGGCTGAAGCCAGGAGTCTGGAACTCCATCTATGTCTCCTTCTTAGGTGGCAGGGCCCCAAGGATTTACCATCATCCGCTGCCTTCCCAGGTGCATTAGCAGGGAGACGGATCCGAAGCAGAGCATCCGGGACTCGAAACAGCACTCCGATAGCTGATTCCGGTGTTGCAAGCAGCGGCTTAGCCCGTGGAGCTACAAGGCTGGGCTCTATCTGCCTGTCTATCCAAAGTATAACTTAACCATCACCACAATCAATTTCACACCCATTTTCATCATCCCAGAAGAAACCCTGTCCCCATCAGCAGTCACCCCTCATTCCGCACCACCTGCCCCTCCCCCTAGGCACCCACCAATCCCCCCACCTCTGCAGAGTCATCTGGATTTTAGATACACAGAATCTTCCTTGTGACTGGCAGCCTCCACTTTGCATATTTGCAAGATTTATCCATGCTGTAACATGCATCAGTACCTTGTCCTTTTTTTTTTTTTTTTTTACGAAATATTAGGTTATATAGCTATACCTCATTTTATTTATCCATTTATCAACTGATGGATATTTGGATTGCTTCCAATTTTGTTTGTTTTGAATCATGCTTCTAAGAATTCTCTTGTATAAGTTTTTGTGAAGGTACAGTTTGGGGACCTCTGTTGTGGCATGGTGGGTAAAGCCACCGCCTGTAGTGCCGGCTTCCCACGTGGATGCTGGTTTGAATCCTGGCTGCTCCGCTTCAGATCTAGCTCCCGGCTAATGGCCTGAGAAAGCAGCAGAAGACGGGCCAAGTGCTTGGGCCCCTGCACTCACGTGGGAGACCCAGAAGAAGCTCCTGGTTCCTGGCTTTGGCCTGGCCCAGCACCAGCCAGCGGGGCCATCTGGGGAGTGAACCAGTGGATGGAAGCGCTCTCTCTCTCTCTCTCTCTCTGTGTGTGTGTGTGTGTGTTTATCTTTGTAACTCTTTCAAATAAATAATTTTTTAAAAGGATACTAATTTGTATTTCTCTTGAGTGGAATTGCTGGGTTGTTTACTCTGTGTTATTTGAGGAAGAGCTCCCCCCCCCCCCTTTTTTTTTTTGACAGGCAGAGTTAGACAGTGAGAGAGAGAGACAGAGAGAAAGGTCTTCCTTCCGTTGTTTCACCCCTCAAATGGCCACCATGGCTGGTGCGCTGTGCTGATCTGAAGCCAGGAGCCAGGTGCTTCCTCCTGGTCTCCAATGCGGGTGCAGGGCCCAAACACCTGGGCCATCCTCCACTGCCTTCCCAGGCCACAGCAGAGAGCTGGACTGGAAGAGGAATAACTGGGACAGAATCCAGCGCCCCGACCGGGACTAGAACCCAGGGTACCAGCACCGCAGGCGGAGGATTAGCCTAGTGAGCCGTGGCGCCGGCCAGAAGAGCCCCTTTCTAAAGCCCCACCAGTAGCATATGGGAGTTCAGTTTTAGCTTTGACATGTAGGTCTTTGATGCATTTTAACTTTGGATATGGTATGAGCTAAAGACCCAGTTGTTTTTTTTTTCTTTTCTTTTGCATGTGGATATCCCGTTGTCCCTGCACCACTTGATAAAATTACTATTCTTTCTCCACTGAGTTGTGTTGGCATTCCTGTAGATAATCAATCGACCATAAATGTTGAGGTTTATTTCTGGACGCCTAGGTTGATTCTCTCGATTTGCACGTCTCTCCTACGCCAACACCACCCTTTTAGACCCTTAGCGCAGTAGTAGGCTTAAAATTGCGAAGCATCAGATCTCCAACTTTGTCCTCTTTTAAAGATGGTTTCACTAGTCTGGGTCCCTTGAATTTTCATGTAAATTTTTAAAAGTATTTATTTATTTGAAAGACAGAGTGACACAGAGGGAGAAGGCGGTGGGGGAGGAGGGATTGAGAGATCTTCCACCTGCTGATTCACTCCCCGGATGGCCACAACATCCAAGACCAGGAACTCACCCTGGTCTCCCACATGGGTGGCAGGGACCCAAGCCCTTGGGCCATCATCTGCTGCTTTCCCAGGTGCACCAGCAGGGAGCTGGAGCAGCACTCCCGATACGAGATGCTGGCTTTGTAAGCGGTGGCTTCATCTGTTGTGTCACAAGGCCAGGCTCTGCATGTCAATTTCAGAATCGGTTCATCAATTTCTGCAAAGAAGACAGCTGAGATTTTAATAGGCGTTGTGTTAATCTGTAGGTCAAGTTGGGGAGTGTTTTCCACCTTAACACTAGTAAGTCTTCTTATCTAATAACGTGGGATAGCTCTAGACTTCTTTAGGACTCCTATCATTTCTTTTCATCATGCTCTGTGGTTTTTGGGTTATAGGTTTTGTATTTCCTTTGTTAATGCATAGTTCATAGCACGAATGTATTAAAGCCATTTGTGACGTCCGGTTCATTGGCATTAAGTGTATCCACATGGCTGTGTGACCACCACTGTTGTCCAGGTCCTGAATGCCCGGATCATAACTCTGTACCCACTGAACCGTCATTGGCCACCTCCTCTCCCCCTAACTCCTGGCAGCTACCAACCTACGTTCCGTCTCTGTGAACTTGACTCCTCTGTTCATCTTAGTGGAACCCTACGATATTTGTCTGTTTGCGTCTGGCTCATTTCACTTAGCATAATGTCTTCAAGGCTTATCCACATTGTAGCATGTGTCAGGATTCCATTCCTTAAGCCTGAATACTATCACAGACCACATTTTGTTTATCCATTCATCTGTCAACACTTGCGTTATTCCATCTTTTGGTTATTGTGAATAATATCGTTATAAATGGGGGTGTGCAAATATCTGTTTGAATCCTTGCCTTTTTCGCTTAAATTTTATTTACACTATATAAGTTTCATACATGAATACATGAGTCTCTGCTTTTTTTAAAAAAGATTTTATTTATTTATTTGAGAGGTAGAGTTATATACAGTGAGAGGCAGAGAGCGAGGTCTTCCATCCACTGGTTCACTCCCCAAATGGCCACAACAGCCAGAGCTGAGCCAATCCGAAGCCAGGAATCAGGAGCTTCTTCCAAGTCTCTCATGTGGGTGCAGGGACCCAAGGACTTGGGCCATCTTCTACTGCTTTCCCAGGCTATAGCAGATAACTGGATTGGAAGAGAAGCAGTTGGGATTAGAACCAGTGCCCATATGGAATGCTGGTGTTGCAGGCAGAGGATTAACCTACCGTGCCACAGCACCAGCCCCAAGAATCCCTGCTTTTAATTCTTTAATTTTGGGTCTACACCAAGAAGTGAATTTCTGGATCACATAGTAATGCTGTATTTATATGCTGTTGAGTCATGCATAATAGTTCATTCCCATCTATTTCTTTTTCTGCATTTTTATATTTAGTGCATAATCATGAAACTATTATTGAAAGCCAATTATTTGAATGTACTGTGCATTGTGAACGGACATGTGTTCTGTGAGTCCTTCCACCTTTCCTATAATCTAAGAACTGATACACGTTTACCATAGAATCATTTGGTGACAGCTTGGAAGCTTGTCTCATTCCTCCTGCAGACCCGAGGATCACAACGTGATTGGCACAAGGACCCTGGACTTGTGGTCTTAGCAGTGAGACTTGGCACTCAGGTCCACTCGCCACCTCTGAGCCACCGTCACACCACAGAGCCCCCCGTGCAGCATGGCCGCGGGGGAGATTGATAGCTGCTCCCGGGTGTGGATGAGTCACGGAGTCTGCTGATCACCGGTCAGTGCCACCCTCTGTCTTCTGACTCAGCGCCCTGCTATTCATGCACGAACCATGGGGTCCTCCTGATCCCCCCCTGGCAGCACGTAGAATGAGGAGGAACAGAGTTCAGCCGAGAAGCTTTGGCAAGCAAGCCGACGAGCAAACGGGAACAAGAGCCCCGGGACTTTCCTAAGACAAACAAAGGATTTAAAAAAAAGAACAATATTTAGCCTAACTCAAAAGTCCCACTTCCAGATGGAGAAAATAACTTACTGCAAACAACCTAGAATATTGCAAGTAGCTCTCATTTCCACCAAAAAGGAAACCTTTTCCTTCTCATCACAGGGCCAAAACAAGACACATGGAAACTGAGCTAAGAGACGTTTCTAAGACTGGAAAATACCAACTTCCAACCCGCGGTCCATCCTGACTCTTGGTCCATCCCAGCTTCTCTCATTTCCTGTTAAACTACTATTGTCCCCCCAAACTTTAGATTTCCCTTAATCCTATCTCCTCCCCTAGGAAACTGTCAAGCGATTGCCCTTTGGCAGTAGTGAGTCAAAGCTCCAGGCCGCTGTCAAATATTCCTGCTTTGTCAGCCAAGGCTTACAAGGAACGACACTGCAAAGTTAAGACGCAAACGGATGTGAGAAGGCTGTTGATACCGGACCTGACCTAGCTGTGAGCAGAGGGATGGAGCTGCAGGGGAAGACACCAGGCATTGCCAACATACACGCTATTTCCGCAAGTATCATCGAGGACGTAAGTCCCATGCGACCCGGGGGGGCAGAGTCCAGGGTGAAGAGACCCGTCTCACCCCAGCTGACTCTTGGCCTCAGTAAACACTGCACACCAAGGAACAGAAAGCTGTGGCCAGTGGCCCAAATCCAACCCACATCTACTTTTGTATGACTGTCAACTTCAAAATGATTGACAATTTTTTAGGGGTAGGAATTCAGCCTAGCTGTTGAGATGCCTGGATTTGATTCCTGACTCTTGCTCCTGACTCCAGCTTCCTTCTAGTGCAGACCCGGGGAGGGAATGGTGATGGCTCAAGTAATTGAGTTCTTGCCGCCCACGTGGGAGACCTGGACAGAGTTCCTGGCCCCTAGGTTCAGCCACTATGGGCCTCTGGGAAGTGAACCAGTGAATGGACGCTCTCTGTCTTGCTGTGTGTATTTGTCTTACTGTCTATCAGATAAATTTTTTTTTTTCATTTTTAACACTGGAAGAAAATCAAAGTGATATGTTTAAAGCAAATTAGCATTAGGTAAAATTCTGTCTTCGGAACACTCACTGCCACGTGCATTCTCCCGTGGCTGTGCCTAGGGCTGCCTTCACCCATGAGTGAGACCGTGGAGTAGGAGCACCCGGGCAGTGTGCACAAGGCCACCAACGTTACTCTCTGTGCAGGAGGTTTGCCACCCTCTGGTGTGAGCTCTTTCCCACAAAACGCAACAGCCAGAGCAAAAGCAAGCATTAGGCTGTAGCCACCACCTTCCAGACAGGGCCTGGCGCTGCGGGTTAGCCCCGGGGTTAGGGAAACCCTGCTCAGCTCCTCACATCTCTGTTTCAGCAGGGTCACTCTGGATACGGGGAGGGCGCGGGGCAGGCCCAGTGACGGTCCCCTGGGATCCCGTGTCGCAGCACCTGGCAATGGGCATTTGGTGTCTCTGGCCCACACGTGTGAGAGTGAACGTTCCCATCCCAATCCCAAGAGGGAGAAAAATACCCCAGGTTAGCTCTGTTTAAGAAAAACCTGTTGGATGGGGAATTTGGATGTGGTTTCAAGAAAGGTCTGGAGGAGCCGGGTGCCACTGACTACCCACGACCCGTGCTTCTGCACCAGGCCCTCTCTCCACACCCTGGGCTCAGGGCCAAATCCAGGCACAGCCAGGGGCTGGGGATATTGCCTTGCGACATCCCAAGGGCCATCTTCCATCTTGGGTTGGATGAACCGTGCTGTGTGATGCTAGAGGTCAGGACGGTTCACAGTCCGCGATCTGAACTCAGTGTCGGGAAGATCCTGTCCACAATTTTTTTTTTCTGAGTAGAGCTAGAGCAAGCTCTCCTGGGAGGCGAGGAGCTCACTGCTTTGACGGAGATGCCGTGGGAAGCCGGCAGCGCGGTTGGTGTCGAGGACCTGTGGGTGCCGGGATGCATGCCAGGATCAGGAGGAAGACCGACAGCAGCCAAGAGCGTGGGCTGCAAAGTCGACGCTGCCATGTACGGTCACTTGGTAAAGCTGGTGAAGGTGAGCCTCAGCATCTATGTCTGTAAAATGGGGGGTGGGGACATGGTTCTGGGCTCTCCAAGCGCCCAGGAGCGCTGGCTGAGAGCTGTTGTCGTTACACTTGTGTTACAAGAAGTTGTTGTTGGCCGATGGTTGTGTACATCTGTTGAGCCCGAAACTTGGTAGGAAAATTCCTCTCTTCAAAACTATTTGAGGATGAGGGATGGAGGAAATGAAAAAGAAAATAAATAAAACAAATCTCTTGAATTGCGTACCAGCCTCGGGGCAGCTGCAGACTGTCCTACGTGTGTGGTGACCTCCAAGAGCCCTTCATCAGGGCTGTTGCCTCCAACGGGCTCCTGGAGCTTCTCCCCACGCTCCAGGAGGCTTGGGTGAAGAGGAGAGACGACTACCAAATGCCAAGATGTCCATGTGTTACCCATGACGGCTGGCAGGGCTCTGGGGATCAGAGAATATTACATTAGTGTGTTTTCCTATTTTCCCCAAATGCTTTACAAAACCACTCATCAAGAAACCCATTTGGCCGAAAAGCAAATGTCGGTGGTGAGTAATGAACACCAGCTTCCGTCACATTTGCTCTTTTCTGGAAGTTTCTGAAGCTCCGAAGTTGCCAGCTTCACGGGGTAGTTGCATGCAAGGGAGATTTTTTTTGTAAACCACAGGGCCTATGGACTGCTTCACAGACATCAGACAGACATAGCGAGCACAGGACAGGTCAGCTTAACCCCTTCTGTGGGGATGCAAATTCCTTGACTTCGTTCGAACCTGGATCTCCCACTGGGTGCCAAGCGCTGTACAAAGACCTCGGGGCCACAGAGGTAAACTGGACATGGATCCCTGTTAATACACCTGCGAAGGCAGTGGAGGACGGCCCGAAGCGCTTGTGCCCCTGCACCCACGTCGGGGGAGACCTGGTGCAGTTCCAAGCTCCTAGCTTGCTGTGGCCGTTTGGAGAGTGAATCAGCAGATGGAAGATCTCTCTCTCTGTGTCTCCTCCATTCTGTTATGTTCAACATAAATAAATCTTTTTTTTTTTTTTTAAAGTTCTGTGTCAATCCAATTTGCAGCCCTGCTGGCCATGTGGGATTCCGTCCTTATCAGGGCCGACTCACTCCCCGCTGAGCTGGTCAGGAGTTCCCTATGCCGGCCTCAAGCGTCCTGCGGGGGCGCTGTTAGGAAAGGTGCTCATGCGTGTTTGAAACAGGGACTTCCGTGGTTCTTGACCGCTAGCAAGAAGCCAGGCACTCGCCTGCGGGCACTTGTTTGCATTTTCAGTTCCAGCGGCTGTCGTGTAAGTCTGATGGGGCAGGAGATATCATGTCCATCCCCAAGACTTCTTATTCACGATCAAGTTCAACGTTTGTGGGTGTTGGAGATGGAGGAGCAGAGGACGGGTTTTGAACACCAAGGTTGATGCAAGGGCGGGGCCCGGGAGTGGCGGGCAGCAGGGTCTCGGGTGCACCCAGCATTTCTCGCAGGGCATGGGCAGAGCAGTATTTTACTTCCCCACTTTGCACACGAAGGCCCTGGAGTTCAAGAACGTGGAGTAGGCAACACCCCGGGAGTTCCGGTTCAGGTTCTTGACTCTGCCTGGAAGATCTAACCTCTCCTACACGGCCTATTACAAGGAAAATCTGAGAACAGACTGTTCCGCATCATAAATGAGTTTATTAACCATCGTACTTGCAACGGAATGAGCTACAGTCCTCTGGGCATATACAGTGAACTGGACAGGGACTCCCCGGAGAGGTGACTGTGTTCCCTCACGTGGTAACAGGGACTTTGCAGATGCGGTTCAGTTGGGGGCCTTGGGAGAAGAGGTTCTCCTGCAGTGTCTGTGTGGACAGGGGAAGTTACACAGTCCATCTAAGAGGTGGGCAGGAGGACCATAGTCAGCCACCAGAAGTGTGGCATTCGAAGCCGGAAATTGTCCGAGGAAGGGGTCGCGGGACAAGGAATGCAAGGGACAGATTCTCCTGCCTGGGGCTCCCAGGGCAGGCGGAGCTGCTGGCACCTCGATGTGAGCCCAGGGAGACAATTCTAGATTTCCCACCTCTAGAGTTTGCTGTGAGACAGCAAACGCGTGTTTGTTTGTTTGTTTGTTTGACAGGCAGCGTGGATAGTGAGAGAGAGAGAGACAGAGAGAAAGATCTTCCTTTTGCCATTGGTTCACCCTCCAATGGCCGCCACGGCTGATGCACTGCGGCCGACGCACCACGCTGATCTGAAGGCAGGAGCCAGGTGCTTCTCCTGGTCTCCCATGGGGTGCAGGGCCCAAGCACTTGGGCCATCCTCCACTGCACTCCCTGGCCACAGCAGAGAGCTGGCCTGGAAGAGGGGCAACCGGGACAGAATCCGGCGCCCCGACCGGGACTAGAACCTGGTGTGCCGGCGTCACTAGGTGGAGGATTAGCCTACTGAGCCGCAGCGCCGGCCACGCGTGTTGTTAAAGGCCGCAGTGTTTGTGACAGCTTATCACAGTGGGCGTGGGCATAGGTCAGAGGTACTCAGCACAGCACCACTGGCTCAGAGCCACCCGGAAAGACTTGCTTAGGGATGGTGAATGCAAGGCTGGAGTTTCCATGCGTGAGCACCTGTAGGGTTAAATGCAGAAAATACATATTGAGCAACAGTGTCAGGCCCTTGTGAGGGTTAAAAACAGAGCTTTTCCTGCAAGTGGCTCCCAGGCTAGGAATGGATGGAACGTGCTCCGGTGATCCCCACCAGCAAGGCAGAACCCCTGGGGGGTTCCGAGTGCCGTGGAGGGAGGACCGAGAGACAGCACCAGGGACAGGAGGCGCTGGGATCTGACGGCGCTGATGGATGCTGGCGTGAGGATGGCGCTAAGGAGGGCAGCCCAGATGGGAGCAGCTCATCAAAGGCATCAAAACAGAAATGGGCTTGGAGCGCCATGGGCTGAATGGTGTCCCCCGCAAGTTCTCATGTTGAAGCTGTAACCCCCAACGTCTCTGAGCTGGAGGTGGGGCCTCAGGGAGGTCATATTTGGGTGGGCTTCATGCTAACAGGGCAGGTGCCCTTAGGAGAAAAAGAAGACATGCCAGGGGTCTCTCTCTCTCTCTCCTTCCTACACAACAGAAGGCCATGTGGGCACACAGCACAGCAGCAGCCGTGGACAAGCCAGGGAGGCCTCATCAGACACTACCCAAGCTGGCACCCGGACCCTGACCTTCCCGGCTCCAGAACAGGGAGGAAGTCACCGCGTGAGGTAGCCCAGCCCCCGGGGTTCGACTGGGCCAGCCTGAACTGACCACTGCTGACAGCAGCAAGCACGCAGCGTGGCTGGGAAGACACGGCAAGGCCAGGACAACAGGCTGGCACCAAACGGCCCCGAGGCTTGAAGCATCTGGCCGGGACTCGGAGACCACGCAAGTCCCTGGAAGGGTGCGTTAGTGGCGGTCGCGGGCAAGGGGGTCTGGGAAGAGCCCTTGGGGCCAGCAGGGAGGCTGCTGCTTTGCCTTGCTGGTCTGGGAGACGCTGAAGAAGGCGCCACTGTTACGTCCTATCAGCAAGGGGAGACGCAACAGGTAAACAAGGCACCGTTCATGGCAGCCAGGGCAGGGGGCCCTCTGCTGCCCAAGCCCCCAGCCCCTGCCACACGCATGGGCGCCTCTCACACGGTACTGTCTCCCTCACATGATGCCCCTGACATGTGTGCACAGGCTCTCACACGCGGTACGCTCTCTCATGCATGCGCGCGCTCTTTTGTACACACAGGATGCTATCACACTTAAGACACATATGAGCTCATTTTCAAAAGTTCGTGGACAACACAATTTAGAAATAAGTGTTTCGGGGGGGAAAAAGTTTTGTGAAGTTCATGAACAGTTTTTTCATCATATAGATTTTCCATAACATTTTTGAGGACCCCTTTCTCTCTCATGTACACACACACACACACACACACACACGAACACACACAGACTCCCTCCAGCTGCTGCCCGCGCTGTTACCCTAAACATAGTCTGCGGGTTGCAGACTCAGAGGCAGAGCAGGTGCGGGAGTCCTGCTCTGTTTCCCGTATGTAAAAGGCATCTCCCGCTGGACGCAGCTGTCTGGCTCCAGTGGGCAGCTTCCAGTGCTTCTGGAACAACACCTCGACAGCTTTTCTCCAAGGCAGGCAAACGAGCTCATAGTGGGTGACGGGGAGTCGGTTCTGGGACAGGGCAGCCTGGAAGGGAGCGCACCTGCCAGAGGTCAAGTTCAATCAGAGACACACCTGGGCTTAGTGCATCCCTACTAGGAAGCACCAGCCACCAGAATTCCTGTATTCCCAACCCACAACCCCCTGGCGCTCACGGGCTGCACACATACAACTTGGGGTCAGAAGTGACTGCTTCCAGCCAACCTCGGCGCGCCTTCCCCATCCCCACGCGTTCATGCATATGGCTCCATCTTGGTTCTGCCAGTCACGTCTAACGCCGCCCAACAGCTCCTGGTGCCGATGGTTCTGCTGCCCTAACTACAGCCCCTTAACAATGTCCCACCACGCACCTCTGTGTGCACGTGTGACGTGGCTGAACACAGCTCCACAGAGGGGAGAAGACTCTGGCTCCTTCACTCAGTTCTCCTTAAACAGTAGTTATCTTGGGGCCACCATTGTGGCATAGTGGGTAAAGCCGCTGCCTCTGACACTGGCATCCCACGTGAGTCCTGGCTGCTCCACTTCCCATCCAGCTGCCTGCTAATGTGCCTGGGAAAGCAACAGAGGATGGCCCGAGTGCTTGGGTCCCTGCCACCCACCTGGGAGACTCAGAAGAAGCTCTTGACCCCTGGCTTCAAGCGTGGTCCAGCCCTAACCATTGCAGCCACCCTGGGAGCAAACTAGCAGACAGAAAATCTCTCTCTCTCTCTCTCTCTCTCTCTCTCGACATTAAAAGCAATAAGCAATTTTTAAAGTTAGCATCTTTACGGTCCACAGTCCGGTTTGAGACTTGACCATTTCGCTTTCACTTTTCATCTTCCCCCAGGGGAGCTAATTTCCATGGGGTCCCAGGGTGATCTTTTCGGGGGGGGGGCTTCTCTTGTCTGTCCTCACCAGCATCTGCTTGCCCTAGGCTTGGGGTGCCTGGAATTGGATGCTGGTGCGTGCACCTGTTGGCTGCTGGAGGCTGTGGTCCCCATGTCTGCAGGCTGCACTCCCTGAGCCGTCCCTGATGTGACCTCACCTCCACGGGCTGCCAGCTTTGTCAGGGTCTCTGTGTCTCCCTTGGGACCTGGTGGACCCTTACCGACCATTGCCAACCTCCTGCCCTTGTGTTAAATTGCTTAGCAGAGCTTTGGAAACTGAGGCACAGCTCTACTGGCCTGGGACACTCACAAATACTGTGGGACGTTAATCATAGCACCGGGGCTGGGATTCTGTGAGATGGCCAGGGCGTCCCCCGGCCCCGTCTCTGGTCAAACTCTCGCCACCCTTAGGTGCCCTGGAAGTCTTTTTTACTGAAGGGGAAGCAAAACCTCCACTCAGCTCCACAAGCTCGGCTTTTTACTTTTTGAAGTTCAGATTCTAGAATATCTGGAATATTCAGGGTCAAGGTCAGGGCTGACTCTTGCAAAATATTTTTTCCCCTTTCTGTGCTTTTTAAATACCTTCACGCTTCCCTCAACGGCCAGGACGCCTTCTGAAGACTGTGTGGCGAGGCAGTTTTGTGGGTGTGCAAGCAAAACCAAGTGGAGTTACACAAACTTAGCGGGTGGAGGTCAGTCACGCCTGCAGCCTCCACAAGACACAGGCGGCAGGCGATGTCTGAGCCCGTGCTACAACGGGGAGAAAAGGCGTAGGGAGCACAGGCCCCCAGTCACACGGTCATCAGCAAGTATTACCCCTTCTCCATCATCCTATGCGCTGCCGCGTTCCACGACGGGCAGGGCAGTAGGTGAGGGCTGCATGGGGTCCCGACACGTGGGGACAGCTGCACCGTCACCGGACAGTGATACCTTGCAGGTCTGTTATTGTCTGATGGCCTTGCTAGGACCTGTTGTTGACAGAACCGCCATGGCACGGCCCCCCGGG